TTGCGTTTTATCACTCAAAAAAGATAATTGCACACCTCTCCTCAACAAGCAACACAATCTAAGGCAACAGTGATGTTCACAGCACCTAATAAAGTCCTAAAGACGCTGCTGACGACACTCAAACTCTGAAACACAGAATAAAACTCCAAATGAACACTCAAAATCTCCTTTGGATTTTCAATTCTCACTGTCAGCGGCCTACAGAAGAAGTCATTTGCAAGGCCACGTATCTGACGGAGCGGTAGAGCGTCACCTCAGTGACATTATCATCCCAATGAATCATGGGTAACACTGGACCACACATAAGAGCACAGACACAGGGGCAATCAAATCATCTCTCTCTCTCTCTCTCTCTCTCTCTCTCTCTGTATGTGAAAGATTGATTTCCATGTGAATGAGATTTATGGCTCTGATATTGTCCAAACATAATAACAGCTCAGCGTGTCATTCTCCTCTCTTTCTATGAGATGAAATTCTGCTCAAAGGCCTTTATTGGTCCGATAGGATGATATCGTCAAATCATAATGACATTCACAGTGTAAATATCATGTCATAAATATCCAGCTCTCTTTCAGCTGATGTAGATGAGACTCTGACAGAGATACGGACGGCAGAAAATCACCAGTGTGTGTTTACAGTCTGTGTGTATGAAGAGATGGAGACTGACAGTTTTACAAAATGACAAATGAAGCGGAGAAGCACTTGAAAACAGGACAGAGAACAGGAGCATGAAGCCCAAGACAACTAGATTTACATTCGCTGAAAGAAACATCAGCAGAACAGTGTTCAAGTTTTAGGTTGTACTGTAATATACATACACAGCTAAACAGCGCATATTGCATAAAATTACACAGACTGAAAAAAATAATACTATCTCATGGAGAAAAATGGTATTATCGTCCAAGCAGTGAAGCACAAGGTTATGAAGCACATGCATGAATGATCATCTCGGTTTCAGGTGTGGAGCTAATCTGGGTGAAGGAACGATGATCTTGCCTTAAGCCTGAAATTATGAAAGAGAAGTCGCACACAGTTGAGCGTGACTCTGTATTTATTCAGCCTTATGTGCAGTACAGTGTGTCGTTGTACAGACAACAGCCTCAGGGAAAACAACATCCTCACAGCCTGGAGCTCCACAACATCAACAATATGATCAACAACAATAGAACAACACAACAATACACAAGATCAACGATGAGGACAGACACAGGGGCAATCGAATCATCTCTCTCTCTCTCTGTGTGTCTCTCTCTCTCTCTCTCTCTCTCTGCATGCTGGGAGTGTTTAGGGTGCGTGTGAGGGTGCTTACGGGGAGAGGACGAGTGATTTGGGGTTTTTTCAGCCTATATATCTACCTATTTTTACGTTTTTCTAATCATTTGAATGATTATTTTCTTTCAAAAATAACATTTGATTTTTTTTTGAGGAGTGTTTTGGAACTTTTAAGGCGGCATTGGGATGGCGTCTACCCCCGCGGGGGTGGCGTCACCTGTGTCGCTCCGCCATGGAGTCAGGTGTGTAGCGGCGCAGGGAGTCACTGTTGAAGATGTGCTGCTAGCAATCGGAGAAAAAGTTGGATATGAAAACATTACTTCGGCATCCAGGATGAATAAAGCAGTAGTGGTGTTTGTCGAGAAAGAAGATATAGTTAACCGGTTGGTAAGCGACGGAATTGTGGTAAGTGGCGATTTTCTTATAATTTCACCGCTTGTTACTCCAACGACTAGAGTTACGATATCGAATGTGCCTCCTTTTATTCGGAATGATGAAATTGAGAAGGCTTTAACGCGATATGGTAAATTGGCTAGTGAGATTAAGATGATTCCATTGGGGTGTAAAAATGCAGCTCTGAAACATGTTATGTCTTTTCGGCGACAGGTGTTTATGTTCTTAAATGAATCAGAGTTGGATATTTCGTTCAGAGTGTTGCATGAAGGGAAAGCGTATGTTATTTACGCGAACATTGGAAGCATGAAGTGTTTTGAGTGCGGGGACATCGGGCACAAAAGGCACGCATGTCCACATAAGGCCCAGGTTAGTGAAGTGGAAGTTAGGCCTAGTACTTCTGCTGCTGGTGAGAGTAGTAAGTCAACTTCTGAGCATGTGCAGCCTCAAGCTCCATCACAGAGAAATACGGATAGTGATGGATTGATTGAAAGTCAGACTGAGGATGTTTCTCTCTCTCTCTCTCAGCAATAATCTCCAAACTGAAAAAGTGTCCTTAATGAAGCAATCCACTATTAGTTTTAATATGAATAAACTAATAAACTTAATGTGATGCTTATTTGTCAGCCATAAGTAAGTGAATCAGGTAAAAAAAAAAATTAAAACGTGATTTTTCTGATAGAAAATGAGATTGTGATTATATATCAAGTTATATATCAATGACTATAAAAACAACAACAATAATCATTATTATTATTAAATACTTGATTGTTTTTCATTTACAGTGAAATATATAATATAATAATGATAATAAATTGTTACTAAATTAAAATATTCAACAAAATAAGACAACAGTAATGTTTCACTGTAAATAAAAATAAGTATTTAATAAAAATGTAGACACTGAAAACACTGGTGGATCATGAGCTGCTCATGTGTGAATGAACACAGGGTCGCATTTCATTCTGAAACACAAACATACAGTATATTTACATATATTTATTTAATTATAAGGTAAGCCATATCGCAATTTCAGTTTTGTTCCGATTAATCGTGCAGCCCTACTGTGCACAGATCAGCATCAAACCAGTCTGAAACCAGTCGCAGTGTGCTTCACAAGTGTGTTTGTCAGAAAAGTGTTGATGAGGCGCATGCTGCTAAAATCTGGGGCTTTTTGTCACAGACTTAAATCATCAAAGTGCAATGAGCTTCTGTCTTATGGTGTGCTTGGCTTTAATTACCAGATCTATCCACTTATGCTTTAGCAAATCCATCCAAGTTGGAGAAAAATAACAAGAGGTTTATTAAGGCCAAAACACACTGCAGGGGCTTAGCTATGATCTGGTGCGTGAGATTCGGTCGGACACGTGCCCTAGTGCGAGTACATGATGCACTTATCATCGGATCGGGTCATTGAGTCTCCCTGGACCTGCTGTGTCCCGTCACCACTCTACTGTCCTGCCATTAAAGGTGAAAATGGCATAAAAACTTTAAATGGCATTAAAGCTGCTCACGTGCTCAAGAAGATGTCACTAATGCTGCAATTCACTTTATGAAGAGATATTAAAGGAACAGTTCACCCAAAACTGAAAATGTGCTGAAAATGTGCTCGCCCTCAGACCATCCCAGATCAGGATGAGTTTGTTTCTTCATCAGGTTTGTAGAAATGTAGCATTGCATCAGTGTCTCAGCAATGGATGCTCTGCAGTGAATGGGTGCCGTCAGAATGAGAGTCCAAACAGCTGATAAACAGTTTTGAGTGAACTGTTCCTTTAAGAATCCTACCAAACTGATTTATTATGCAGTACTTGTTCAACACGCCCCACATCCCCAGTAAGAGTTTAGTACTTCCATTCAACACATTTTATGTTAATATTCACAAATTTTCCACAAAAATCAGTAAAATGTGGCAAGCTCTGTATCGGTCTGCTCAGGACTCACTGTTTTAGGAAACCATATTAGCAACCGTCCGACTGCAAGCCCGAAGCTGTAACTCGTGTACCATATATGTGGTGAAAATACAGAAAAATGGAGAAACTGGGAATGATATGAAAGCATATGAGCTCATACATCCTAGGAGCCAATTCATGTCTTGTATATTGAGTTACGCTCTTCTGCTGAAAGGTAAAAGTTGAGAAACTTCTTCGATTGTATTTTTTCAGCACAGTCCTACAATAGAGATTAAACTAAGAGCTAGTCATAACTGTGGTTTAAGTCCAACACGCCACACCCGAGCGCTGGTTTTCATCCGCAGACGAACGTAAACACAAGCCCAAGCAGGAAAACCTTTCTTCTGTCCTCCTCGCTCTTTTCTCCTCAGGTTTGCAGGGCTATAAGGAATAACCTTAAAAATCACAGACGTGCTTTTTTCACTTTTCTCAGCACATTTCTGACCTTCACCATTTTACACCGCTGTTAATAGTCTTCGCATTCGTATAAAGTCTAGAGAGACAGTTTTAAAGTTTTTACCAGCAGAGAGGCAGATGTTAATCAATTAAATAGCTCATTTTGGATTCAATTTTATAATATTCACGCAAGAATCCCTTTATGCACTATGCAAATTTAACTAAGGATATGCCAATAGGGTCCTCACACCATCGGTGCTCGGGCCCTAATAATAATACCGATGATGATGGTTATAATAATAATTATTATTATTACATACACTACTGTTCAAAATTTTGGCATCTGTAAGTTTTTGTTCAGTCTTTTATGCTCACCGAGGCTGCATTTATTTGATCAAAAATACAGTAAAAACAGTAAAAATGTGAAATATTATTAGAAATTAAATCAGCTGTTTTCTATGTGAATATCTGTTAAACTGTAATTTATTTCTGTGATGCGCAGCTGTATTTTCAGCATCATTACTCCAGTCTTCAGTGTCACATGATCTTCAGAAATCATTCTAATATGCTGATTTGCTGCTCAAGAAACATTTCTGATTATTATCAATGTTGAAAACAGTTGTGCGGCCCAAAAACTGTGATACTTTTTTATTTTTCAGGATTCACAGATGAACAGAAAGTTCAAAAGAACGGCATTTATTTGAAATAGACATCTTTTGTAACATTATAAACGTCTTTACTGTCACTTTTGATCAGTTTAATGCATCCTTGATGAATTAAAATATTGAATGGCCATATAAGGCACCTGCAAAAATAAAACAAAATGTATGTATGTAGTTCCCCATGATTTTGTAGGCCTGGCCTGTTTATTCATTCCTGCCTTTGTTTGTTTGTTGTGGAGGCATTACCGAGGGCCTGATCTTCTGGTGTGGTTCACGTTTACAGGTTATGATCTTATAATCAGCATATAGGGAGCAGAAGATCACCCACCGTCAGCGTGAACAGCCAGCACAGCACACAGCAGGAGAGCCAGCATACTGAGACGAGTGTGTGTGTGTGTGTGTGTGTGTGTGTGATCCCACGACGAGTGTGCGAGTGTGTAACAGCAGGGCAGCTCCTTCAATCACGGCACTGCGGGGAAAATCAGAGAGAGACTGATTAACCTGAGTGACTGAGAAAGACTAAAAACACAGAACATCACCAGCTGTTAACCACAGATATAAACACATGCACGCCACGCTTGGCTGCTCCGAATGTGTCGACAAATTCGCCATGCTGACAGGGTTAATGTTGTATGACTCATGGCCGGATCTTGACCTTTCCGTTATGATGAAAACACAGACGTCCCACAGAAACGGTGCGATCTAGGTGCTCGTGTTTAAGTCAGATACTGATTTAGGCCACAAACCTCATGAAAGTATGATGAACACCTTTAGCTTCACAAACTTGATTTCAAACTGCGCTGATTGCTAAAATGTGTAGAATTCAATTCATATTAGTGCAACACAAATACATTATCAGCGCTATTGCAAAAGGTGCTACGACAGGCGTAAATTGCATAAATGCATAAATAAAACAAACAATTAATATTTAATTTAGTCCTGATTTTTTTTTTGTATTACGTTTTCCCTTTATTCATTATTTTCTGCATTTATTTTTAACTTTATTGTTTATTATTGCATTTTGTACTTATTATTACTATTTATTTATATTTATTTTAATTTCATTTGTATACTTTATGCATTCATTTATTTGTATTTTTTACATTTATTTATTACCACATGTATATATTTCCATATTTAAATATTCCCTTTTTTAATTTACATTTTTTTACATTTATTTTTGTATTTAATCTTACATTTCCATTTGTTATGACAACTAAGCTGGATAATTATCATACAATTTGGTGGTTGTTTTTTTTTTTGCTATTTACACTTAAATAATGTAAATAAACATTATTATAAAAATGTATAATTTTTTCAACTTAAACGTCGTAATAAAAATCTGCCAGGCTTCCCCAGTGCACTTGAATGCAGCACATGTTTCTGTTCAATTTATGTAAGGAAGACTTTATGAATGATTTAAACAGGATTTTGTATTACTGATGTTTCATGAATGATTTTGGTTAATTATTCAACTCTATTCAACAGTTAAATTCACTCTCTGTGCGAGAGACAAATGCATTTAACTTCAAAAAAAGTGCCAGTCAGTAATACACCTCCAGTTCCTAATATTATAATTAACATCACACACGTTAAAGTACAGACAGCCATGTTTCTTGTTTATAGTTGTGAGATATTAAAACACTGCTCCTGCTAGTTCAGGAGTGACTCCTGGATTCTGTTCACACCTGGAATAATAACGTAGTGAATTCAGTTCTGAAAAAATCATGCAGTTTCACTCTTATAAAGTCTGTTTCGTGTCTGCTACATTTAGCCGATTAAAAGTGGACCAACATTCACACATTTACTGAAATGCAATAGAATTTGCTTGACTGCTGCAATGCATGGCTTATATGGTCACTCTGTTGCTGACTAGGGTGTTTCTATATCTAATTTTACACGTCGGTGCATCCTGTTAAGTCTGGTCACAATTTTCACATCCTTTTCTCATTTCCTCTTTCTTTCCTTCTTTTCTCTTAAAGACCACATGAAATGGACTGGTTTCTTTCCTGTGATGACACATTTCTGATTGTAACAGGGAGTCTGGGTGGACTTGTCCTGTTTATTTAATAGTTTATACAGTTCAAAAGTTTGGGATCAGTAAGGTTTTTTTTAAAGGAAATCAACATTTTTATTCATCAAGGATGCATTAAATTGATCAAAAGTGACAGTAAAGACGTTTATAATGTAACAGAAGATTTCTATTTCAAATAAATGCTGTTCTTCTGAACTTTCTGTTCATCTGTCAGCTGTTTTAATTGCTAATAATATTTCACAATTTTTACTGTATTTTTGAACAAATAAATGCAGCCTCAGTGAGCAGAAGAGACTTTCAAAAAATTTTAAAAAGTCCCCAAACTTCTGAATGTCAGTTTTATTCATGAAAATATATAATTGCCTTTATATTCAGTAAAGACGTTCAAGGCAAACATGTCTGAAACCCCCTGCATTAGCATACAGCGTCACAAGAGTCAGGTTTGATTTCATGTGGTCTTTAACACACTGACAGACACAGACAGCTGCATTACTAGCTGGCTTTCTGATCCGCTCGCTCAGATCCACCCTATCTTTGTGCTGTTAGAGAAACATGAACAAGTTCTGAGCATAAGCAGCACAATTATACGACTGCACGGTAATCTAAAGCACATAAAGAGCCGGAAGCAGCAGCGAGTGGGCGCTCAATGAACAGGTCAGACTCGTGTGAGCGCTGACTAAACTCTTCCAGCAGGTCAGCGTTCAGTAATAAGAGACGACGTCACCCCTGCGCTATGCTTTAGTTATAATCAGACCGCTTTCTGCGGACAAACCCTGCACTCAGCACAAAGCATGTGGTCAGACAACAGCACCGCTACTCTCTTCAGAAACTGAGACCGATTTAACTCTCTTTTGAGACAAAGTTCAAAATAACTAGTCAGGCTTGAACAACTTAGTAATTCTTTCCACATGCATAAAAGCACAGCATGATTAAACTGCACACTTTATAGATCGCAGGAACTGTCTGCATGAACTTCAAACAGTCTGAGGTCTAATAGTGCTTTTCCTCACTCACTCCTTCCTTCTGGATTCTCAGAAAGCCTCAGAATGTTTTGGTTGGCCTCGATCACTCTGTCAGTGACTTTCAATGCAGTGCTGTTGAAAACATGTCATCGAGACTCAAAGGAATAGTTCAGCCAAACATGAAAATGGGCCCATACAAGATCAGGATGAGTTTGTTTCTTCATCAGGTTTGTAGAAATGTAGCACTGCATCAGTGTCTCAGCAATGGATGCTCTGCAGTGAATGGGTGCCGTCAGAATGAGAGGCCAAACAGCTGATAAAAACATCACAATAATCCACAGCACTCCAGTCCATCAGTTAACATCTGGAGAAGACAAAAACTGAAACTAATCCAGCATTAAGACGTTTTTAACTAAAATATGAGTCCATAATAATCCATAATAACGCTTCCTCCAGTGAAAAAGTGGTCTGGTCTGAATCAGATCAAGCACTGTTTACAATTTTGGAAAGAAGCAAAGGTTTAAAAACTTCTCCAGATGTTAACTGATGGACTGGAGTGCTGTGGATTACTTGTGGATTATTGTGATGTTTTTATCAGCTGTTTGAACTCTCATTCTGACGGCACCCATTCACTGCAGAGCATCCATTGGTGAGCAAGTGATGTAAAGCTACATTTCTCCAAACCTGATGAAGAAACAAACTCATTCTAATCTGGGATGAACTGAGGGTGAGCACATTTCCAAATGTTAATTTTTTGGGTGAGCTATTCCTTTAAATTTCACTATGGTTTCATACATTCAGCTCAATCTGCTGAATTTACAGTACGAGTCAAACGGACAGAATATGCATGTAAGCATTATGTATGATCAACACTAGAGTCAAAAAAATAAATCACTGGCTGCTTTGCTTGAACATCCAACACTTTCTCTAGAAAAACTACAGTAATCTTCTAGCCCGGGCCACGGCTCATTGAGTCTTTAATGCTGTATCATACATTAATCCTGCAGCATCTATTCAGACGTTTGGCACTGAGGCTCAAGTTTACACAAGCACATTTATCTTCACCGCGTGTTTCCTTGTTCTCAAACAATCACCTGTATTATTACTCACATCAGTAAATAACAGGCCACTGTTTAGCCGGCAGGTACTCAGTGTATATTATCCTGGCATTCGGTACTCTAAATTACTCTAACATGCAGCTCTGTAGAAACACAACGATCACATCTGAGAGGAAATGAAGAACTGCTTCACGAAGGACATGAGACAGTTCTACCCAAAACACTATAGAGCAGGTTAGACCAAATTAACCTATTTGCATGCAACTTAGGTATGCTCAAATTCAATAGAATAGAATAGAATAGAATAGAATAGAATAGAATAGAATGTATTGTCCCATTTTGGGGATTTTTTTCCTGGCAATCAACTTCAGACACATAACATATAACATATAGCACAGAATTCAGCTACAACAATAATAATGTTAATAATAACTTTAAAATACGTATATAAAAAAATATACAGAAACATTTTTAAAATTCGAATTTTAGAATTATTTGTTTAATAGGCTAATGTAACCGAGTTTGGCACAAAAGTGTTTTTTATAATAATTCTAATTCTAAATCGTCTCTCTGAAGGTTAAAATGGTTATTATGGAAGTTACATTTAATTAAATTAATATATATATATATATATATATGTGTGTGTGTGTGTGTGTGT